ATAAAGCCTCAATGCACCAATTGACGATGTCAACAATTGTGCACCACCACTGTCACTATAAAAAGGGTCACATCTGAAGAGTCATTTCCATGTGGTTGATGTCCTTTTTCTCTCTAATTTCCAGTCTAATCTGTAGGCCCCTTCATTTCCTATACAATCGCTAAACCGTTGGATCTCTTCAAATATGTTTTGTGTAGATCTTTTTCTCTATGCAGGAGCAAAGCTAAAATTACAACGATATGAAAAATCTCATCTACCATGGGTTCAAATCCAGACGCTTCCAAAGCCTTTATGGCCATGGAGATTCACATGCGATGACTTCAAGCCATTCATGGTCACCCGACGATTCATCAGTGCGTTAAGCTAGCTCGAAAAACAACAGTTACCCAAAAAAACGACAACAATATGTACAACTTCCCCTCCAAGTCAATATAACCTCATCCTCAACCTGCTATGTAATGTCATCGTTCCATTAACTGGAATTAACGAACATAATTGGAAAACGGTTACCAATGAGAATGAATCACCGAAATTGGTGCTGTAATTTGTCCGTTAGACCTTTAGCAACATAATAACTTGATCTTATTAGGTCTGTTATGAGAGGCCACTTAACAAAATAATTTAAAACACAAGGGTGGTGTCTGATTGGTTTGAGCTTGGCTCCAAAGATCAAAAGTATCAGAAGATCTTAAGTTCAAAACTTCAAATCCAAGGAGGAATAAAAATCATCTTGTGGCCACGGAGGTTCAAATGCGGTGACTCTGGGTTATCTGCAAAGCAGGTGGTCGTCCTGGAATTAGTCGGCTCACATAGCGGGTTGGAGATCCAGGTTAATAAATAAAAAAAAACTTAACATCCATTAAAATTTAAAAAAAAAATTAAGCTAGATTATAAAAATCGAGGGACGAAAACTATAACTTCTTTAAATTACATGGATAATTCTTGTAATTTACTTTAGTATCAAGGCGTCGTTTACTAAATGTTTACCTGGATAAGTACTAAACGGTAAGATTCAACATTGACACTTAATTACCAGGTAAGATTTTAGTTCACCAAAATATTATCATATGCAACAATCTATCCGTTAAGTGTTAACCGTGGTAAGAGTCGTCACCATCACTTACAGGGTAAGAATTTTGGTTATTGTCTTCGCTTTTAACGGGTAAGATTATTGGTCATTGACATATTCATCCAATAAGGTAATTTGACTTGATAATACTTACCCGAATAAATGTTTAGTAAACAGACCCTTAATTGGAAACTTTCAAATTTCTATGTTCCACAAATATAAAAAAATATATGCTTAATGTTAGAAACTCAAATTTTCCCCATGGTTGTAAACGAACCGAACGTTCAGCGAACTGTACGCGAACCGTTCGATGGGAAGTTCGTTTATCTTCGTTTATTTAATAAATGAACGGACATGAACAATTTTTTTTTGTTCGTTTAGTTAAATGAACGAATATGAACAAGAGTACCGTTCGTTCATTTATGTTCGTGAATGTTCGTTCATTTACCGTTCGTTTATATACTAATTTAATATATAATCTTTTGTTTATTTACTTTGAATTCAAATAATATTTATTTATGTTCGTTTAGCCCGTTCGTTTAGCATGTTAACGAACGAATATAAACGAACACGAACACACCTGGTTTCTAAACGAACGAACACGAACACAAAGATTTTCGTTCGTTTACCCTTCGTGTTTGTTCGATTAAGTTAAACGAACGAACATAAACAAACCATCATTCATGTTCGTTCGATTCGTTTACGGTCCTAATTTTCCCTTTTAATTTATCAAACAACTAAAAATTAATTAATAGTAAATTCAAATTATATGGTTCAATTAAATAAGAAAGGTCCCGGTCCAGCCGGTGAGCAAGTCAACGAAGTCACGTGCAACGGGTGTGAGAGGGAGAGGCTATGGTATAGCTTTAGGTCTTGAATAAAGCCTACTCTGCGGGGTCCACAAAGGTCTTGGGCCCACTAAACATGGCCCACTTTCTGAAAGTCGTTGACTGGTGGCTAAACAAGGAGACCTAGAGGATCTATTCGGGTGTTTCCCAAGTTTTGAATATTTACATTATTGGCCCTTGCAGTTTTTTCTCCCTTTTCTAGTAACCATTTGTTTTTTTAAATTAAACTGGATATCCAACCTGTTTTGCGAGCCGAATAATCTCAGGTCAACCACTTGCTTTGCAGATAGTCCGGAGTCACCGCATTTGAACATCCGTGGCCACAAGGGGATTTTTATTTCTCACTGGATTTGAACCTAGGACCTTCTAGCACTTTTGACCTTTAGAACCAAGCTCAAACCAATCAGACATCATTCTTGTAACCATTTGTTTTTACTTTTTAGGCTAAAAAATTTAAATCAAATTTCCATATAAAGGGTATTTTGGTTCATCGGGATCCGATTGAATTTGAACAAGGATGTTTCATCCTTTTGTGAGGTTCTGTTGCACTCAAAGTACCAGGAGGTCACAAGTTCAATTACAAAGAGGAATAAAAATTCTCTTGTGGCCAAGGAAGTTCAAATGCAATGACTCCGGACTATCTACAAAGCAGGTGGTCATCCTGGAATTAGTCGGCTCGCATAGCGGGTTAGATATCCAGGTTAATAAAAAAAAGGATAATGGATAAACATATATCATAAGCACATGCAAAGGCTCAATAACAATTTGGACAAATTGCATGAAAAATTAATGTACTTTAACTTGATTTCTATTTTGGATAAATATTTTCCAAACTTCTATTTTTGTGCCTAAAATATAATGTTTTAAAAATTTAAGTACCCGAGTAACCGGTTGAAACATCAACTGGTTAGTGGTTACTATGTTGATGTGACAAGTGATATGGTATCCAACTCGGTATTATTTGCTGAGGCATTAACCGGATATTTGAGTCAAACATCATCTAATAATTATTGATTTGCTTGTTAAAAAAACAAAAGTTTTGTTTTATGCCCTTTATCAAGTAACATAACCATAAGGGGTTAAAATGAAATTATACAAAAGTACAGGGGGTGATAAGGGCAGTTTATCTTTCGGCATCTGACGCAAACGAAGCCGATTTCGCCACCATTGTGGACCCATCCTACTTGCCAGCTGTCATCACCTACCCTTTTTATCACACGTATAATCATTTTTAATGTTAAAAATATAAACCAAAATATTTTAATTGGTTTTAATTTGATTTTCTTTATTTAATTTTTACAATTAATTTTTTTAATTAATTCCGACACCTATATTAAATTAATTTATAATTAAAAGAAATTTTTGGTCAAATGATGACTTAAAATACCAGCTGTTGTTACGGTTGCAATATCGCATAAAACCAAGAAGAAATCCAAAAATTCAAAAATCCAAAAAAAAAAATGTTGCTGCATGTATATATATATTAGAAGAGTATTCATACAATATAGTGAGATATATTTTTATTTTAATGTTTTATTTTATTTTTTGTTTATGTTAATATAATACGGTTTATATAGTTTTAAAAAAGATAATGTTTTTACTTTTGAATAAAAATAAATTTGAATACATCATAAAAATTTAAAAAATTATATCGATATTAATATCAAATTAACTATTTAAAAGTTCTTGTTTTTTGTACAATTTCTCTAATTAAATTTTTTTATTATAATTTAATATAGGTTAAATACTGAAGTAATTTATTTTTGGTTTAACGATATTTTTTTATAAAGATAATGATTATGTTAGAGCTCAATGATTATTTTAATTATATTTTGAATTTTTTATATTTAAAATGATATGTTTATTTTGTATTTAATTATATTTATTTGTAATTAGTTATACGAATTCAAAAATGGAGTTTTAATAAGTTGTACATAAGCACAATTTACTTCTAATCTTAAATTTTAAGTAATATGCATTTATATACAGTACTTCATATATAGTATATATATATATTATATCAAAAGATTTGGGATCATGTGAGACCAGTCTGTTTTCGTGAGACCGATGAGACCACATTTTTACACTTGGAACTTCACAACAAAACACTGTGAAGTTAACCTTCACAATGTTTCTGCTGTGAAGTTTCAATTTTTTTTTACATTCACTATTAATTGTTGTGAAGTTTCAAGTGTAAAAATGTGGTCTCACATGTCTCACGAAAGCAGAATGGTCTCATGTGAACCTAACCCTATAAAAAAATAAGATTAAATAAGTAATGCAGCATTCTCCGAAGGAAATGAAAGGAAAGGAGGGATGAAAGAACAAATTTCGTGTTCTCAAGCTTTCTAGGACGGAAAAGAAAGAAAAAGAACGAAAAAAGGTTGTTTTCTTCCAAAATTTTCCAACGAAATAAAAAAAAACGTAACACCAAATAATATTTATTAAATACATATTTAACCCATCAATTACATTCTACTGTAAAATAAATAATGATATATTTATAAAATTGAAGTTTTTCATTTCTTTTCTCTTTCTCCAAAAAACATGAATTTTTTTTCATTCCATTTTCTTTAGTTTTACTGCTTTTAAGAACACGGAGGTTCAAATACGGTGACTCTGGACTACCTGCGAAGCGGATGATCGTCATGTGATTAGTTGGTTCACATAATGAGTTATATATCAAGGTTAATAAGAAAAGGTAAATTAGTAGGTATATATGTTCTATAAATATTTTAATTGATTTATAATCTAAAGTCATGACCAAAAACTCTATGGTCTAGTGGTATTGTAGTCTTTGGTCTCTTAAAAAGTCAAAGGTTCAAACTTCAACAAAGGTGAAAAGGGTGTGTGAGTTTATTTGTTGTATTTACCGTATATAAATATTATATCCTTCAAAAAAAAAGTTAAAATCATGATAATTAAAAAACCTTATCAACTTTCATAAATATATCAATTATTTTCTAACATAAAAAAAATATAAAAAAAAAGAAAAACAAAAAAACACACGCATGGGATAATTCTGGTGTTTAGTCTGAACTTGTCCTCTTTATTAACGACTCCACGGCTTCTTTTCTTCATAAATGGCTACGCCGTCAACTGGTTTCTCCTTTGATTCCGATCGCATCACATTCTCCGATCACCACCAACCGGAATTCATGGACTTCACCGGCCACAACTCCTCCGGTTCACCTTCATCTACCACCATCCATTTTCCTCTCAATTGCACCTACCATCAACCGGGCAAGTCTGATGATAAACGGATTAACGAAGTGGACTTTTTCACTGAAAACACACACAATCTGTCAAAGTCGATCGGATCATCTGTCAGTTGTGTTCAGTACCAGGAGTCTACTGAACCTACTATGGATTTGGATTTTCATATCAATGTAAGTAGATGATATTTTATTAATTAGTTTATTTTAATTTCCTTCTGGATTTTTCATCGTTTTGTGGTTGATTGAATTCGATCGTTGACCGTACAGACTGGTTTGCATCTTGTTACCGGATATACAGACAGTGATCAGTCTGTAATCGATGATGGCGTCTCTCCAAATTCTGGTGATAAACGAACTAAACATGAGGTATTGATTTGTATATATAGTAGTTGTATAAGCTTGATGCATGATTGTGGAAATCGTAACAATTCATTAACTGAATCGATTTGTTTAATTTGAATCTATAGTTAGCTACTGTTCAAGCTGAATTGGAGAGGATGAACGATGAAAATCAACGGTTGAGAGAGGCTTTGAATCAAGTAATGGTCAATTGCAACACACTCGAGATGCATCTCGCAACGATGATACAACAAAATCAAGGAGATGAAAAAGGAGGATCTACAGTTCCAAAGCGGTCTATGGATCTAGCTTTAGCAGCTCCGAGAATGGCGGAAGCCGATGAGAATTCAGAGTCGTCGTCAGCTGAAAGGCGCCGTGATGAACATTCACGATCTCCGATCAATAACAACGGCGTTATTAATGGAGAAGTAAGCCCCAAACAAGGCTCTCACGTTCTTCAGAGATTGAATTCGTTGAATGATAATAATCGGAACACCGGAAACGTTGATAAATCTAACGAAGGAACGATTCAGAAAGCTAGGGTTTCTGTTCGAGTTCGATCAGAAGCTTCCGTGGTATTCATCGTGAAAACTCGATTCAATTATGAAAATTCAATTGTCACGTACGTATGAGATTCATTGAGCAATCGATTTGTTTGCTTTACTAGATCACAGATGGATGTCAATGGAGGAAATACGGCCAAAAAATAGCGAAAGGAAATCCATGTCCACGGGCATATTACCGGTGCACCATGTCCGTCGGTTGCCCCGTCCGGAAACAAGTAAGTTGTTTCAGCTATTCAAACTTCCGGTGTTCTTTTTTCCGGCAACCAGATTCGATCGGAAATGTTTCATGTTTGAACAGGTGCAAAGATGTGCAGAAGATCAAACAATCCTGATCACCACATACGAAGGAAATCACAACCACCCTCTGCCGCACACCGCCATCGCCATGGCCTCCACCACCTCTTCCGCCGCAAAGATGCTACTCTCCGGCTCCATGCCGAGCTCCGACGGCCTCATGAATTCAAATTTTTTAGGTAGAAATCTCCACAATTACTCTTCTAGCATGGCCACCATTTCAGCATCCTCCCCGTTTCCGACCGTCACACTAGACCTCACTCAAACTCCAAACCTTCTACAGTTCCATCGGACCACCGGCCAGTTTCCGGTACCCTTCTCCATCCCCAACCAACTTCCCCAAATTTTCGGGCAGTCATTATACAACCATTCCAAATTCTCAGGGCTTCAAATGTCTCATAACATGGAAACCGCCGGGCGGCTGCCACCGGCCGCCTTGGCTGACACCGTTACCGCCCTGACCGCGGATCCAAATTTTCCGGCGGCCGTAGCAGCAGCGATATCGTCAATTATTGGCAGCGGTTCTCATGGTAAGGATAAAAGTGGAAATGTGAATGGCACCAACATCAACCAGAATGGGCATGGCAACAATAAAGTCAGCAATTCAGGTTTTGGAGGAAATCAGTAATCCATGAGCTGTTTTTTCTTTATAAATTTATTTTCCTTATTAATACACACATGTTCCCTTCTAATGTTCTTGTTTTTTTTTTTATCATCCTATCAAAAGATTATTTTTGCTATTTTAAATAATGTAATATAGTTTTTCTCGCCTTTTATATAAATATATTGGAGATAATTCAAATTGTGTCATTTTCAATTTATATATATATATATATATATATATACTAGAAGCGTACTCGCGCAATGCAGCGACATACATCGTGTTTTTAATATTTCATTTTATTCTTTATCCCAGTCGGTGTTATAATATGGCTTTATGTGATTTTGAGAAAACGATGATGTTTTTGTTTTTGAATAAAATATATGTTTGAAGATATCATAAAAATTTGACAAAAATATATCGATATTAATATCAAATTAATTATTTGAAATTCCTCATTTTTTTTGTGTAGTTTTTTAATCCAA